AAAAAAAAAAAGAAAATAGTTTGTAGGTTCTAGAACTTCTAGATTTTGCAGCAGATTGAGTTTGGAGAAGTATTTACATATCCACTGGAAAAGCAAACGGTTATCTAGATGGAGCCCACAAACAGCTTTGGCCTAATTGGTTCTCAGAGTGGGCAGGATGTTAAGTGTTAAGAGTTGGAGATGTTGGTTAGTCCTGTTCCTTGTGTAGTAGTAGCAGCACTTTCTTTTTCTCATTTGAGGTAGCATCTTTGCTAATGTTACTTGTGAGTCATAACCCCCATCCAGGCTAGTGACTGGGATAAGATTGACCAGGGTGATGTTAATTGGCCTTTGCAGAGCATGAATTATAGTCTGTGGAGCCACATTCAGTTTAGTAGTCAGAACATATAATTGCATGTCACCATTCATGATGGCTTTGCATCTGACAGCCTTTATTTATTTATTTGAGACAAAGTCTCACTTTGTCTCCCTCAGTAGAGTGCTGTGGTGTCATAGCTCACAGCAACTTCAAACTCTTGGGATTAAGCGATTCTCTTTGCCTCAGCCTCCCAAGTAGCTGAGACTACAGGTGCCTGCCACAACCCCCAGCTAATTTTTAGAAATAGGGTCTTAAACTTGCTGCGGCAATCCACCCACCTTGGCCTCCCAAAGTGCTGAGATTATAGGCATGAGCCACCTAGCCTGGCCTCCTGACAGCCTTTTGACAGGGAAATTATCACTGAGATATACTGATCCATTAGTACTTTCAGGATTGAACAGCTATCCCAGCCTGTCTTTAGCTGTCACTTTGCCTCATGTCTTTTACTTATAAAATGGGACTATTTCTCCCATTATGAAGGTGACTAAATTTGGATAACTGAAAATTCTATTAACAGTAAGTAGTTCCTGGAAAACAGTTGTTTGGCATGTTTTCTACTTATTTATATTTACTTTTCTGGTCACCCTCAGATATATTGGTTATACAAACTGAATAATAAAATCCAGTCTGAAAGAACTAAATCAGATACCTCAAAATGTCAATTTCTGACATTCTCATCCGACTTTCTTAATTCTATCTGTAGTTACACAAGCTATAGCTTAGGAGGTTGCATGTTGGTGGGTGGGCCTTATTTACCTTAGAGAATTTAATTTTGCAAGCTTTGTGTGTGTGTTAGCTTTTTAGTTAGAGAAAAATTGTCTTCATATTCTGTGGGTATTCCCTGAGAGTGAAAAGTGTGGTCTGTCCAGAGGCAACCAGAGAACAGCAGTCTTCTTTATGCATCCTTCCTCGGGGTAAGGCCCAACTCTAGGTCTGGCCTGATGGCTGATTGACCCACTGAAGCAACTGTTGATTTATGTCTGCATTCCCAAGTTATCACCAAAATGTAGCCAGAATTGGTTATTAGAGCTTCTCATAACACACAGGTTATCATATAAGCTCTTATTAGAAAGTAGACACTAACTTGTGTTTTCTTTCATCTCTTCTGATATTCTCATTGCAGGAGTCTGGTTGGAAGCAAATGTTTTTTTAATGGACTTGCATCTCCTCACCTTGATCAGGACTAAAGGACGGAGGCCGCTCCACCCCTTCCCTTTCCTCCAATCCCCTAACTCCCTTCAGACACCCAGGGAATACCCTCTGCCCTACAGGATTGAAGACTGCTTGGCAGCCCTCCTAATCCCATACCTCCTGTTTGCCAGGAGAAAGAACCTAAAGACTTATGTGGTTGGGAGGGGTGGCAGACAAGAAAAAAAACAACACATGTCTAGGCCCCTGGTCTCCATAGAGAATGGTGCTTTGTCCAAGGAAACGTATGAGTTTCTGATTCTCCAGGAGCAATTCAGTGGTGAGGTTTATGGGAAGACTTCTTCCTTCCCAAAGAAAATGGATCTTCCATGTCTGATCTAGGAGAGTGACTGGGTGTGCCAAATATGCCCAGGGTCCTGCCCTCAGCACTAGATCTGATGGGGCCAAGAGGGTCCCAATCCCTTGCTAACATACCACTTCTTTGTTTAACTCTTTTACCTTCCAAGCCCTTTGAGGAGGAACCATAAGAACAGAAATTAACCTTATGAAAAGCTAGTTCTGTTCTTGCTTTTCCTTCTCATATATTGATGGTTCATTTCCCTGACCTCCCAGAGAGCTGAACCCTTTCACCTCTCTGCTGCCCAGCCTTCTCGTGGACTTGTCCCTCAGCAGAGAAGGCCTAGTGAGGTTGCTTTCTGCTGGGAAGCCTGGTAGAGCTGATTACCACCCTCTGCTGTTTAGTGCTTGGTTGCCTCTTGCAATAACCAGCCAGCTCTTAGCCGTTCCCTTTCCCTGGGGCTTTCCCATTTAACACATGGAGCCCTTCCCCCCAAGAAGGCTGCTTCCTTGTTTTAGAGGAAGGTATTGCCGTTGGGAGATGGGGACATTGGGACCTCAGCAATGAAGAACCCTTGTGAAGTACCAGGAATAGTGGGGAAGGAGGCAAGTTGGGCAGGGCCTACTTCCATAGGTTTTTCTTTTTTCAGGTTTGATGTAAGCATGGGCTTGCATCCCCGAGGTACATACTTTTACATATTGTGAGATAGCCTGGCACTAGTAGGCAGGTAAAGTCACAAATTTGGTGTCTTTTCACTTTTGACTATTGACTTAATAGCTCCTCTTGCTCTACCTGGAGGTACTTCCTGCCTCTGATAAAGGAGCAGGAAGAAATGGAGCCTGACTTGAATGAACTCAGCTCAGACTTCTAAGGACCAGCACTCTGGGGGCCGTTTTCTACACAGGCAAATGGAATTGCTTTTCCCATAACATCCAAATTGTGATGTGGTTGCTGCTGAAGAAGGAGGCAACAACAGGGTCCTGCAGTACCCACGGGGTGATGCTACTTCTGCATGATATGAATAGGGCACATAACATCTAATGTAAGAAGAGACGTGGCATGTGAGATGAGACTTGGCACGTGAGATATAGGGTCACTGGAGACCCTTCTGGCTCAGAGGGGAGAGACTGAATTGAACTGAACCCTTCCTCTGTTCCCAGCACGTTTCTGACATAGCCCTCAGTCACTGAGGGAATCCCCCAGGGTTGGAGAGGCACATTCCCCCGGGACAGAGGCTACAGGTTGTAGCTTTTTTCCCCCTGTCCCCCCAACCCCATCCCCACCTCCACTTGAGAACATGGCACCCCACCCAACCAGCCAAGTGTTAAGTGATGTGCTTATCCTCAAGAGCAGCTCCGGGTGTCTTTTTAAAATGTAGAGAAAACCAAGTAAGGTGACAGTTTAAGGGGAAAAAATATATATAGAATACCAGAAATACAGTTTACCCGGAGAATTTTTTCTCCCCATTTTTGTTTTGTTTTTACTCAATGACACAATTTTTAGTTTTGTTTCCTGATAGCAAAAGGAAAAAACCCCAACCCGCAAAAAGGCTAAGGTCCCGTCCCCTTGTTGTCGGTGATTTGTTTGTCTTTCTGATAGGTTGAAAATTGTGTAATAAACTTGATGACGCTGTCAATCTTTTATACTGCATTGTATTTTTTTCCTTTTGTAACAAAATATTTTTAAATAATAAATGGGGTGTGAGCTGTTTTATGGATTCTGCATTTAATAGATTTGTTGAGGTGTCGTGGGCTTGGGTATGGGCTGATGTAGACACTGTGGGAAGGTAGTGAAACCACAGGTTCTCAGCGGGAATTGCCTGTTGGACAATGGCTTCTCTATGGCTTGGGTTAGCCTCCTAAACATCTAGTGCAAACCTTCAGAGGCATCACATGAGCTTTTTTCCCTTGGCCATCTTTAACAATCTGGTTAAAGAAAACATCCAAGAAATTCTTTACCTTTCAAGATTCCCAGGATGTTTTCAGAGCAAATTTCCTACCTTGTACAGTTCAGTTCCAATGTCCTCAAGTTCAGGAAAGAAAGTCTCCTGATAAAACTTGATTGCTAGTGCCTATTTCCACTATTTAACCATGGACAAGTAACATAACCCTGGTCTTTTTCATTTTTAAGATGAAAATAATAGCTGTTGTGTCTTGTACATAGGGATGTTTTAATAATCAGAACATGAGTTTGTTTTATAGACTAAATATGAGGACATAACAGATCAGAAAGGTTAGTAGAAGTGTGGAGTGCTTTTGGGATTCCAGAAAAGCTTTTGTTTTTTTGAGGAAGAGTCTTACTTTGTCACCCTAGGTAGAGTGCCATAGCATCATAGCTCATAGCAACCTCAGACTCTTGGGCTTAAGCAATTCTTTTGCCTCAGCCTCCCAAGTAGCTGGGACTACAGGCACCCACCACATCGCCTGGCTATTTTTTTGTTGTATTTGGCATTGTTTGGCAGGCCCAGGCTGGGTTTGAACTTGCCAGCCCCAATATATGTGGCCCAGCCCCCTAGCCACTGAGCTACAGGTGCCAAGCCAAAAGCTTTTGGCTTTTTAAAAAGCCAGGTAAACAAGAGGAAACTTAGATGATAGTAAGGTGACCATAGATGTATATTGGTACTAAATAAGGTAAAATCACTAAAAATAAGTAACTTTCAGGGGAAGGGAAATTCCCTGGGAGGTCTTAACAATTATGTGAAACTTGGAGGAAAAAAACTAGTTGGAGTGCCTGTCAGAATGTAAACCAATGTTCTCAAATCGGATTCCATAGTCCCCCACACTGCAGTCATCTGCCATGTGTGCTAAAATGCATACTCCTGGGCTGCCCCAGTCTCTACTTCAGGTCTAAGAATCTGCTTTTTACACCCCAGATGACTTATGTAACTAAAGTATGAAGACTGTTAGCTTAGAAACAAATACATTGTTTCATCTAGGGGGTACCATGGTGACATAGAAAGGGATGGAATTTAGTTTACTCTAGGTCAGTGGTTCTCAACCTTCCTAATGCCGCGGCCCTTTAATACAGTTCCTGTGTGCCCTTTAATACAGTTTCTGTGTGTCTCAACCCACAGGTTGAGAACTACTGATCTAGGTTCAAACTCACATTTTTTTTTTTTTTTTGAGACGGAGCCTCAAGCTATCCCCCTGGGTCGAGTGCCATGGCATCACGCTCACAGCAACCTCCAACTCCTGGGCTCAAGCGAGTCTCCTGCCTCAGCCTCCCAAGTAGCTGGGACCACAGGCGCCCGCCACAACGCCTGACCATTTTTTGGTTGCAGGCATCGTTGTTTGGCGGGCCCAGGCTGGGGATTTGAACCCGCCACCTTAGGTGTATGTGGCTGGCCTTAGCCGTTTGAGCCACAGGCGCCGAGCCCAAACTCATATTTCTAAACCAAATACCTTTGCACACGTGGCTTTCTGAGTTGATTTCCTTCTGCCCCAGGATCATTATATGGATTTTAAATATACTCTGACCGGCACTGGGTGAATGTTAGTCTCCTATAAGTGGAGACTCCTATGCTGTGGTATGGAGCCAGAAACCCGAATCTGTGTCCTAAATGCTTCATAAACTGGGCCGGGCTGTGGCTCTTGGCGCAGCTGCTTGCAATCAATCACAACTTGCCAGTTCTAGCCATGACTGTGAGTAGCTGAGCAGGCCTCTCCTAGCTTGTGACCAGGGCTCATCCCTCTTAAAACTGCCCCAGAATATTTGTGCTGCCAGGTCTATTTGGGCTGTAGTGGCTTCCTTTGACTCTAGTGAGCACTGCTTCTGGCCACATTAACCCTAAAAGACCTCACAGATTCCCATCCTCCATCATCCTTCCTGTTGTATGATGTTCTACTCGGTGTCATTAACTGCACCTAGACTAGACAGGTGGCTCCAGCAAGCTTCAGGAAGAATGAACACTCAGGAGAGGACTTCTGTTCCTATTCATAGCTTTTTTTTTTTTTTTTAGACAAGGTCTCTCTCACCCCACCTAGCATGCAGTGGCATGATTGTAGCTCACTGCAACCTTGAATTCCTGGGTTCAAGTGATCCTCCTGCCTCAGCCTTCCAAAATAGGTGGGAGCCACTGTACCTGACAATAGCTGCATTTCCAATCATTTTTATCTTCACGTAGTACTTGTGGAGAAATGGAATTTACTTGATTCAGACAGACTCCTAAGGCTTCTTGTTCTGTTAGTAACTGGTTGTGTGGTTGTGTGGTGCTGGCTATGTTACCACCTCACCTCTAAGCCTGCAAAGTGGTGGATTATATTTAGTTGATCCCTTTGAATTCTAAGTAACATATAGGTTTTATAAGCCACCTCTAAACATCCACCTGGGCCTTCCATTCATTTATATGTTTAACTGTTAACCACTGAACCTCTATTTTGTTTGTTTTTTTTTTTTTTTAGAGACACTTTGTCGCCCTCAGTAGAGTGCCATGGCATCACAGCTCACAGCAACCTCCAGCTCTTGGGCTTAGGCAATTCTTTTGCCTCAGCCTCCAGAGTAGCTGGGACTATAGGTGCCCGCCACAACACCTGGCTATTTTTTCCATGCGGTTCGGCTGGGCCGGGTTTGAACCTGCCACCCTCGGTATATGGGACTGGCCCCCTACTCACTCACAGGTGCCACCCATGAACCTCTAAAGAAAGTAGGGAGGCCAGAAAGAATGGGCTTCCCTCCAGTTTGATATCAATGACTTCTTCAAAAGCAGTAGTATTGCCGGGTGAGGTGGCTCACACCTATAATCCTAGCATTCAGGGAGGCCCAAGCAGGTGGACTGCCTGCGCACATGGGTTTGAGACCAGCCTGAGCAAGAGCGAGACCCCATCTCTTAAAAAAAAATAGCTGGGCATTGTGGCAGGCACCTATAGTCCCAGATACTCAGGAGGCTGAGGCAAGAGAATCACTTGAGCCCAGGAGTTTAAGGTTGCTGTGAGCTGTGACACCATAGCACTCCACTGAGGGCAACAAAGTAAGACTCTGTCTCAAAAAAAAAAAAAAAAAGAAAGAAAGAAAAAGAAAAAGGAGCAGTGTGAGAAGCAGCAGAAAAATTATGTTAGTGGGATTTGTGAGTGAATTATCCGGGAATTCCTATTGGATATTTTGTTACTATTTCACAGTTGATTAGACCTATCTACTATAGTTTTGTGGATGGATGGCAAGGGCACAGAAGGGGAAGAAAACAAGAAAAGCATCAGTGCTTAGGACAGTGGAGGCCCTAATAAAGTAAGAATGAGCCTGATCACAGAAAATAACCTGAGTTAAAAACCAGCATACAATGCTTGAAGGTCAGTTACACTTTACTTTAAGTAGAAGCAGATACTCTAGGATTCATCTGAGAGCAGACAAAAGGGCCTCTAGGTTTCCTAAAGTAGATTTTTTCATGGCTCCTGGTGACTTCTTACGGCTAAAAAACATGGCCAGTACCAAACAAGATGAGGAACAATTTTAAAGATGGTTACTTGGAGAAAGAACTGATATATAAAGTGACAGTCCTCAGTTTTTTTTTTTTTTTTTTTGCAATTTTTGGCTGGGGCTGGCTTTGAACCTGCTACCTCCAGCATATGGGGCTGGTGCCCTACTCCTTGAGCCACAGGACTTGCCTGGGGTCAAGCAATTCTTTTGCCTCAGGCCTCCTGATCCTGGGTGGTGCCTGTGGCTCAAAGGAGTAGGGCGCCGGCCCCATATGCCACAGGTGGTGGGTTCAAACCCCGCCCCAGCCAAAAACTGCCAAA